TAAGAGCAACAAGCCCATATATGTTGATTTGAGCATTTGGAAATTCTCTACTCCAAACATAAAGTAGCATAAAAACCAGTGGTACTGCCAAAAATGGGGACCACAATAAAGGGATCGCAGACAAAACCTATAATTGAGGAAATAAAATTACAAAGAAAAAAACTGATGTCAGGACTTAGAATACCAAGTTAAAAACGAAACTAGAAAGAAAGAACCTACTAGTGGGGAAATGGAGTTAGTGCAATTAACAACAATCAGACAAGTGATCTTTCAATCAGAATTTTGTATTAGCTAAATTAACTTCCCAAATATTTTCTGAAATTCCCAAATGCCTTTCTCCACTGAACCAAGTGGTTCTGTACAGAACATTCAAACCTTCATTGACACTTCCTATCCTACCTAGCCAGAATTTATATTCCTCAATCTCCAACAGATTCTCTCCAACCAACAGTAACCTCATACGAAATTGACAACTAATCTTCACTTACCATTGACCATTTCAAATAATCAATCAGAATCATCATTCATTTGTTAATTAACCAATTATCTGAATGTTTATCCATCTAACTTTGCATTCACTAAAAACAAATCAAACATAATTTTATTACTAAAAGGTTTGAGATGTGACATATGCTAATGCAGAAATTATTGAAGACTAATGGAGAATAACTTTCACAGGCACAATGGCCAAATGGAAGTCAGATAAACAAATTAAATTGGATATATCAATTGTTCATCATTGTTATCCAAAAAAAAAAGTTTTGTTATCTTCTTGTCCAGCTCATAAGCCAGAACCACTAGAATAGATTCTACAAAATATACCTTCCCGCATTTTGAAGGATAAATGTCACATTAACAATCATAAGATGAAAAAGATATGTGGAGGATCAAACATACTAATAGTGCAAACGAACCAAATATCATCATCCACAAGAAATCAGCAGTCCGTCTGTCAAATGGTCCCTTCTCAAGTTGGACACCGTACCTTAATCTGTACATTATACGAAAAAGAATTAATTCAGATGAACTAAGTATACCTCACCACTTTATATAATCTACTTGTTCGATATATAGAAACTTAGAAATCGATGTAACAAATTATTCTTCAATTACTTACATCATTAAAAGACGGATCCCGAAATTGATAGAAAATGGTCCAAGGAAAAATAAGTTTGTGAATAACCTCCAGACCTACAGATGATGGGAAGTACAAAAGATTTATTAAATAGGTCAAATGGAAAAAAACAAACTAAGTTTATTACAAAAGATTTTCAACAGCAAGTTAAGCTTAAGGGAAATCACAAACTTCATCAGTAAAACTCTAATTGACTGCTTAATAGTCAAAAAGTCTCCCAAACAATTTGCGACCTGTCAGTCGCCAAGAAATTAAACCATTGTGCTATTAATGAAGCAGTGTAATGTAATGTAGTGCCCAGTGTCCACAGTGCCTCATCTATTTATCCACAAGTATCAGAAAATATGACCAAAGGGAATTGGGGGGATGCCATAGATTATATATCCTATAGCAGTCTAGAAGGAAGTGGAGAGCACTCCATTGAGCCCAAACAATCATTCGACACAAATGGCACAATTATAAATAACAATAAATGGAATGTTGACCCCAAAATCACAAGTATATCAGCACATGATATGATATAAAAACAATCACAAAAATATTGCATAATCTAGTTCGCAATTGGAGGGTGGTGTTTGGCAGCAAACGTTAGAAGTAAAACCAAGTATGTCTCCATGATATTTCTTTTAATTTGGCAACTAAAAAACACAAAAAAGATACTCAATCTGTCTTATACAAAAAATAAAACAAATCTTCACATCAAAGACGCACAGAATGGGATATCGAAAGCGAAGCTTTAGAGAATGAATGCAACACTTGGCAAAAGCATTAACAGCACATTCCTCTTTCTCTGATACTGATAACAATGACATTAAGGAATTTTCACCTGAAAACCGTAGAACACTCGTTCGTACAATAGTGCAATATGAATTGGACTGTATAATCCAAGATGGTAAGCGGCAGTAGCCAACACGCAAGCAGTGCCATATGCCTTGGTTATTGGCGGAAGAGAGTGATAAAACCTGAAAGCATGAAACATTTGAAGTATTAAACAAACTGATTCAAGCAATTATAAAAATTTCCAAGAAAATTT